AATGTATTTAGGGAATTTTCATTTATACGCCCATCAGATTGTGTACAAAATAAGACTAATTAAAATAATAAAATAACTAGATGAATAGATAAGTTAAGAACTAGATTAGCTTAATTACTTGACAAATGGTAAAACCAGTCAAAAATCGACTAGTCAATCGATCAATATAAAAGTAATAATTAATTAAAAATAATAAAAAATATACAAACTTATTGCGCAAAGAAAATTGTTAGACATTCAAAATTTTATGGTTAGGCATTCAAAATATCAAATTGAAATAAAATCAATTAATGTTGCACTAATATAATTTTTCAAATTTCACAAGAAAATATTATTTTCGGAAGGAGAATTTATAAAGTTGTAATTGTTTTTTCAAAAATCCGATTTACTAAATTTATGTTTTCACGACGTTTCAAGTCAATCTGAACCGATTGATACTAAAATATTTATATTATATTAAGATACCTTTTATCTTACATATATCTCAACTATATTTTATTAGATGAAAAAGGTAATTAGGTGAAATTAAAGGCATTAAAAATACAATAGTAATAATAAATTATTAGTATTAATAGCGTAATATGACTTAGTAATTGTTATTGTAGCAGTTCGGTGATTTTGGGAAACATTCTAAAATATTATATAGGCTTACGAAAAGTGGTTTAATTATAAATATTCATTATATAAGAATTAATTAAATAAACTTTATTAACACAGTGATCGTGGGCATGAACCTTTATTCAATAAAGGTTCATGCCCACGGTTACGGCGTATATTCCGTGTTACATATTGATCAGCGTTGACGTCCACACTTAAATAAAATACATTTTTAGATGAAACTAAATTTTAAGTTTAGAAGTACAATGAAATGCGTGAAATAAATTAAATTTAGTGAATACAATTACAGATATTATATATTTGTTTTAAAGATAGCAATTAGAAATCACATTCAATTTTAGTGAAAATGAAAACTTTATTTTCAAAATAAAAGTAATAATTTTTAAAAGTTACTAAATCTCAATTCTTATGGATAAAAACGTTCTTATGGATAAAGATACTTACAACAAGTTAATTAATACGTCTAGAAAAAAGTAATTGTTAATTAATAAGTATTAAGAAGAGGAAAAAAAATTTACAATGCCCTTGTTCATTAGAAACAATAAAATAAATATTTGAAATATATTATATAAACTAAGTGTCAATGTATCAGAAAATGGCTAATGTATCAGATTACAATGTCAATAAACAATAAAAAAAGTATTAAAAATCATTAGTTATTATGACTAATTATAATTTTATTACTATAATCAATGCGATTCAATTGTCTTATCCCTAAACAAAAAATTAGTGAAATTTGTGAGAAAAATTAGAGAAAAAATCATCATTTACTATCTATATAAATATATTATATACAGAAAAATTTAAAAAAATATTTTTATATTTTTCCAATTAATATTATTATTTTTTATTAATTACCGATATTATTTTCATGTAAATTCTATCCTTTGCACTCTTATTTATTTAAATTTATGTTATTATTTATCAATATTACTAGATGTTAATTATTTAACAGTTGTAATAATTATTGAAATAAAAAAAAAAATATTTTTCCAATTACAACTTAACTGAAAAAAAAACGATAAGGTGACGTGATGCAATAATTTTTCAAGGTACACAATTGCTTAAAACCCCTAAAATGGAGGCAAATTTTCAAAAAAAAAATCGAAAACAGAATAGATTGATAGATAGAAAATAGAATATAGAATTGTATATTGATACTTCTTATAATCGTCTTTGTTAGAGGACGTTAGCTTTATATTATATGTAATAATATTATAAATAAATAACTTTAATATAAACATACTATATTTAAATTCCCGTAGGGTAAGTTATAGTAATCGCAAAAAAATCGAAAATGAAAATTTGTATATATCTTTACGTTTCAGGGGTTTCTGAATATTTTGGCATACTTTAGAAAAAATTGATGTATATGTGTGTGTGCGGATACAAATTTTCATCGACGATTTCGGGAACATCGATCAACCGATATGAATAATTCAAAAAACATTCGATTCGTATTGATAAAGAGACGTGCTGATTAGTTTTAGACGAAGGCAGGTCTAGCCGTTCCGAAGATACGGGGCAAAAAGTGCCTAAAACGGTAACTCAGTTTTTAAGAGAACGGAGCGTCCGATTCTAACAATTCAAAAAACATTTAACTTGTACTGACAAGATGAAGAACTGATTGAATTTTTGGGAGGGCAGGTCCAGCGGTTATAGACTCTCAATAAAAATAAGTTATAAAAATGTCATTTGACGGTCAAAAATGTTTATTTGACATATGTGCATCAAACCAGATATTTTATAGAGATTTTAATAATATGTACACATTTTGTGTATTTTTTTTTGGAGTTCCGTACCAAGATTTTTAATTACGGTACGGGAAGTTCCAGCAATTTGCCTTAAGGCACGATGCCATGCACCCCACTAGTTTTTATATATTAATAACTTGCATAATTTAGAATGGAAACAAAAATATTCTGTATACTCATGTTTTCTCACTAAAAGCTCAATTTACCAAGGGAGATAAGAAGTCATGGGCTTCTTATTCTTATACATAATATATAAGTTATTGTAATTCGAATAACAGCGGATATTATTTTTCAAATATTGCACCTGCAAAACAACAGAACGCATTCAGGCTAAAAACAACAAAACCGTAGTTCCAAATTTATCAATAATATTATCTTATATCATTCCATATTTTCCTTGTATTACTAAACAACAGACACGACATGCTTGAATTTGTTGAATTTTTAGACACAACATGTTTTTTAATTGTCTGGATAATTCGAATTGTCCGAAACTCACAATCAGAACGAGATCCAATTTCCTAACAACTGATAATTAAAAGATAAACTTGATGATTCAAATAATGAATTGACAGACTGAAGATGTTTAATAAGAATAACACTTATGAAACCTAATACAAACTGTTACTCATTGGATAATATGAAATGTGATATTATAAATAATGAAGAATTTGGGACACTGCTATCAGTGATCTGGTCGTGGCTTATTCGTAGCCTAGTGGTTAAAGCTTTGCTCTTGCAAGTATGGTGTTTCAAAATCTTACAGAGAAGTTGTATTTTTTGGGAAAAAGTTCATTTTCCCTTTTTTAGTACATGCATACAAACATATTGTGTACACAATCAATATTCCTTATATATTAAGATCACCTGTGATATATAAAGTACCTACGGGTAGCCAAATATGTATAACAAATAACAATGTAAAATGTATGTTCAATTATAGCAATAAAAACTTTTGTCTGTCTGTCTGTCTGTTACAAAATCTTTTTCCGAATCAAGAAGTAGTGATATCAATTATTAGTTGAAAATTAATATCTAAATATGATTTTAACTGAAAATTGTCTTTCGGGCAGCAAACATATCTGCAAGATCACAATTAGTAAATATGACTAGCTGGGTTTTCTTCGAATTGGGCTAAAATCTAATAAATTCGTAGAACAACAGTTGTCTTCTATTAACGTTCGCCAAACTAATGAACCTGGAATAACCATCAATTCAATAACTAGTGGTGTATGGCATCATGCTTAAGTCAAATTTCTGGAACTTTCCGTACCTTAATGAAATATTAGAGAAATATTAAATATTTTCAAATAGATTATTATAAATAATGTAACTTTCATTATTCTTATTTTATTAAAAGTAAATAAACAAAACTTAGTCAATCGGATTTAAGATGAATAACACTGTCTAATATTTCCAAGAATTATATAGACTAAATTGCAAAGTTGAAATTAATTATTTGAAGTATGTAAGTTCTATATTAAAAAAAAATCATTGAATAATAATTAAATAAAAAAATTCTTTCCTGAAAAGCAATCGTTTCGTCAACACAAGCACATTGTTTTTAAATCATTCAAATCGGATGCTCAGTTCTCTCAAAAACTGCAATTTTTGCACATTTAGCCTTATATCTCCAAAACGGCTGGACCTGTCTTTGCCAAAATTTAATCACCTCTTCTCCCTATCATTACGAGTTCAATGTTTTTTGGACCATTCAAATCGGTTGATCAGTTCTCTCAACTAGTGGAGTGTATGGCATCGTGCCTTAAGGCAAATTGCTGGAACTTCCCGTACCGTAACGAAATGTTCGAGAAATATTGAATGTTTTCAGATAGATTATAATAAATATTGTAACATTGTCTGATGTTTAAAAAAAATGAAAAAAAAAAAAATTGAAATAATTCTTTCCAAAATCAATTATTTTGTTAAAACAAGCAAAAAGAATCATTGAATCATTTAATTCGGACGCTTAGTTCTCTCAAAAACTGCAATTTTTTGCACATTTAGCTCTGTATCTTCGAAACGACTGGAGTTGCCTTTGCCAAAAACTAATCACCTCTTCTCCTAATCATTACAAATTTTTTGGACCATTCAAATCAGATACTCCTCTCAAAAACTAGATTTCTATTTTCTGCACTCTTTGGTCCATATCTTCGTAACGACTGGACCTGCCTTTGCCAAAAACTAATCAGCACAACTCCCTATCAATAAGAATCGAATGTTTTTTGAATCATTCAAATCGGTTGATCCGTGCGCCCGGTTTTTATTATATTCTATCTAGTATCTGTGTTGGTATTTGGATCATACTTAAACAAGAATCATATTTGATCAGGGATCATATTTTGGTGATCCTGATGGTTGATACCAGTTTGGATCATATTTTGGTGATCCCAAGACGATTTTGAGAGACGATACAAAACTTGCATATGAAAGTACCACACTTAACTAGTTTTTAATTTCTATATATGTAATTACTTATCTGTTTCTGATCTGTTTGAAGAAGCATTCACTAATTGTGATGACTAATGTGTAGAGATACGACTTTTCAATACAACCCAGTGGAAGTCGTTTTAAGTTTGAAAATTGATGAGACAGAAGTCAATATATTTAAGGAATATAATTTTGTACCTTCATTTAATTTATCTCCTTCCTTCTTTTCCCAACTGACAATGGTTCCCATCTCCATGGTGGGTGACAGTGCTGGCAAAAGCACTTTGAAATGTTCAGGTAATGCTCCATTTGAATATTTTCGTACAAGATTCTTATTGCATTCATTTGGATTGTGCAAAGATCGCCGAGGCAGTTGTGTCAGATCTCTGTTAAAGAAATATGATATTAAATTTAGGAACATACAATATATCATAAATATAGGTAATGGGATATCCACATCTTTATGAAATTGAATTATAGGAACAAAAAATGTTTAATTAACATCACACCAAAAATCAAATTGTGCATTAAGTTAAAAATGAAAATACCTTGAACTTTACATATTTACTACTAGGTGTGCATGTTTCATTAAGATTTGTTATAGTTCAAGCAAAGAATCTAATATATATGCATTATATTAGCACAAAATTGTTACATGATTCCACTAATGTACATTAGTGAGAGATTTTATAACAATTATCTCTAAAAAAATTTATACCAATTGCTTAATTAAATTAAATCCTAATATATGTAATATTGGATCGAATGACAATACATATTGGTACAATAAGTACAAGCTACCATCATCAATAATAAGATAATCAAGTATAAAATATGACAAAGATCTACTAATATGTTATTAGTCTATTGATTATTTTCCATTCATATAAGTAATATGTATTATGTAATATTTTTATTGTAATATGGTTTTTAGTGATTATTTTTTCCATGATTAGAAATTTATTTATAAGTACATTTTCTTTTTATTAGTTAGTATTAAATAGAAGTTTTTGTATTTATATCGTGGGATAGTTATACATGATTATATAAATTGTATAGAAATATGTATGTATAAACTTGTATTTGTGTATATAATAGTACGAGAGTATATAACAGTGTTTGTAAATATATAGTACGTCAATGAGTAATAGTATTTGTGTACGAGAGTATATAACAGTGTTTGTAAATATAATAGTAAGTGAATGAGAAATAGTATTTGTGTACATAATAGTACGAGAGTATATAACAGTGTTTGTAAATATAGTAGTACGTGAATGAGTAATAGTATTTTGTACATAATAGTACGAGAGTATATAACAGTGTTTGTAAATATAGTAGTACGTGAATGAGTAATAGTATTTGTCTACATAATAGTACGAGAGTATATAACAGTGTTTGTAAATATAGTAGTACGTGAATGAGTAATAGTATTTGTCTACATAATAGTACGAGAGTATATAACAGTGTTTGTAAATATAATAGTACGTGAATGAATAATAGTATTTGTGTATATAATAGTACGAGAGTATATAACAGTGTTTGTAAATTAGTAGTACGTGAATGAGTAATAGTATTTGTCTACATAATAGTACGAGAGTATATAACAGTGTTTGAAAATATAGCCACAGTGTTGTAAATATAATAGTACGTGAATGAATAATAGTATTTGTGTATATAATAGTACGAGAGTATATAACAGTGTTTGTAAATATAGTAGTACGTGAATGAGTAATAGTATTTGTCTACATAATAGTACGAGAGTATATAACAGTGTTTGTAAATATAATAGTACGTGAATGAGTAATAGTATTTGTGTATATAATAGTACGTGAATGAGTAATAGTATTTGTGTATATAATAGTACGAGAGTATATAACAGTGTTTGTAAATATATTATAGTATGTCAATGAGTAATAGTATTTGTGTACGAGAGTATATAACAGTGTTTGTAAATATAATAGTACGTGAATGAGTAATAGTATTTGTGTATATAATAGTACGAGAGTATATAACAGTGTTTGTAAATATATTATAGTACGTCAATGAGTAATAGTATTTGTGTACGAGAGTATATAACAGTGTTTGTAAATATAATAGTACGTGAATGAGTAATAGTATTTGTGTATATAATAGTACGTGAATGAGTAATAGTATTTGTGTATATAATAGTACGAGAGTATATAACAGTGTTTGTAAATATATTATAGTACGTCAATGAGTAATAGTATTTGTGTACGAGAGTATATAACAGTGTTTGTAAATATAATAGTACGTGAATGAGTAATAGTATTTGTGTATATAATAGTACGAGAGTATATAACAGTGTTTGTAAATATATTATAGTACGTCAATGAGTAATAGTATTTGTGTACGAGAGTATATAACAGTGTTTGTAAATATAATAGTACGTGAATGAGTAATAGTATTTGTGAATATAATAGTACGTGAATGAGTAATAGTATTTGTGTATATAATAGTACGTGAATGAGTAATAGTATTTGTGTACGAGAGTATATAACAGTGTTTGTAAATATAATAGTACGTGAATGAGTAATAGTATTTGTGTATATAATAGTACGAGAGTATATAACAGTGTTTGTAAATATATTATAGTACGTCAATGAGTAACAGTATTTGTTTAAGGGAGTATATAACAGTGTTTGTTTGTAAATATAATAGTACGTGAATGAGTAATAGTATTTGTGTATATAATAGTACGAGAGTATATAACAGTGTTTGTAAATATATTATAGTACGTCAATGAGTAATAGTATTTGTGTATATAATAGTACGAGAGTATATAACAGTGTTTGTAAATATAATAGAGAATGAGTAATAGTATTTGTGTATATAATAGTACGAGAGTATATAACAGTGTTTGTAAATATAATATAGTACGTCAATGAGTAATAGTATTTGTGTACATAATAGTACGAGAGTATATAACAGTGTTGTAAATATAATAGTACGTGAATGAGTAATAGTATTTGTGTATATAATAATACGAGAGTATATAACAGTGTTTGTAAATATAATAATGCGTGAATGAGTAATAGTATTTGTGTATATAATAGTACGAGAGTATATAACAGTGTTTGTAAATATAATATAGTAAGTCAATGAGTAATAGTATTTGTGTACATAATGGTATGAGAGTATATAACAGTGTTTGTAAAATATAATAGTACGTGAATGAGTAATAGTATTTGTGTATATAATAATACGAGAGTATATAACAGTGTTTGTAAATATAATAGTACGTGAATGAGTAATAGTATTTGTGTATATAATAATACGAGAGTATATAACAGTGTTTGTAAAAATAATAGTACGTGAATGAGTAATAGTATTTGTGTATATAATAGTACGAGAGTATATAACAGTGTTTGTAAATATTTATAGTACGTCAATGAGTAATAGTATTTTGTATATAATAGTACGAGAGTATATAACAGTGTTTGTAAATATAATAGTGAATGAGTAATAGTATTTGTGTATATAATAGTACGAGAGTATATAACAGTGTTTGTAAATATAATATATACGTCAATGAGTAATAGTATTTGTGTACATAATAGTACGAGAGTATATAACAGTGTTTGTAAATATAATAGTACGTGAATGAGTAATAGTATTTGTGTATATAATAATACGAGAGTATATAACAGTGTTTGTAAATATAATAATGCGTGAATGAGTAATAGTATTTGTGTATATAATAGTACGAGAGTATATAACAGTGTTTTGTAAATATAATATAGTAAGTCAATGAGTAATAGTATTTGTGTACATAATGTATGAGAGTATATAACAGTGTTTGTAAATATAATAGTACGTGAATGAGTAATAGTATTTGTGTATATAATAGTACGAGAGTATATAACAGTGTTTGTAAATATATTATAGTACGTCAATGAGTAATAGTATTTGTGTATATAATAGTACGAGAGTATATAACAGTGTTTGTAAATATAATAGTGAATGAGTAATAGTATTTGTGTATATATTAGTACGAGAGTATATAACAGTGTTTGTAAATATAATATAGTACGTCAATGAGTAATAGTATTTGTGTACATAATAGTACGAGAGTATATAACAGTGTTTGTAAATATAATAGTACGTGAATGAGTAATAGTATTTGTGTATATAATAATACGAGAGTATATAACAGTGTTTGTAAATATAATAATGCGTGAATGAGTAATAGTATTTGTGTATATAATAGTACGAGAGTATATAACAGTGTTTGTAAATATAATATAGTAAGTCAATGAGTAATAGTATTTGTGTACATAATGGTATGAGAGTATATAACAGTGTTTGTAAATATAATAGTACGTGAATGAGTAATAGTATTTGTGTATATAATAATACGAGAGTATATAACAGTGTTTGTAAATATAATATAGTACGTCAATGAGTAATAGTATTTGTGTACATAATAGTACGAGAGTATATAACAGTGTTTGTAAATATAATAGTATGTGAATGAGTAATAGTATTTGTGTACGAGAGTTTTCTTTCATATACAGGTTTTATTTGTATTTCAATAACTAGGTTACGTTAATAGTTGATTAAAAAATATAAGTAAAAGTAAGTATTAATACAAATATTAAGTAAGTATTAATAAAAAGAAAAAGGTAGAAGAGAATATGAATATTGCTCTGTAAGTCGTTGAGCAAACATGACTTCAAATTGGGACTTTACATGTTCTTTAAATTTTTTCTTTTTTATAATCACTTATTAGTTATGATGTTCTTTTAGATAACTTTAGTATTTTTAATAGTATGTTTTTGGGTTTTTCCTGGTTTGATTACTGAATGAGGATGCACATCAAGTTTAAAGAATTTTTCTATATTGACCTCCTTTTTAATTCGACGATTATATGATATATATATATATATATATATATATATATATCATATGGAATTCATAAACTTTGCAAATAAACATATTTAATATTAACACAAATTCCTTGAGAAAACAATATAAAATTAAATGTATACCAATAAAAATATAAATATAAATGGTAAATTATAAGTGGTAAATATTATCTACATAATCTTAATCTCAGACTCAATTTGTTTATATGTACTTCATCTTTATCTGACATAATTAACTATTATCATATGTAACCCAAAGGGGCTTTTGGAAGGTTTCACTTGCTTGTAGAGTTTCTGTAAATATGATCCTGAAAGAATAAAGTAGCACACTCTATTCAATATTATTAAAGATCTAACGTTATATTTGATTGTAATTAATGAATTTAAAATAAAAAGGAAATAAATATATGATCGTCTAAAATATGGTTTTAATTTGGAGAATAAAATAGTCTAAAAAAATGAATTTCAAGGTTTTACTAAAAATATTTTGATAATATGAAATTATGTAAAATCAAATATTTAGAGCTAAAGGTATGTCATTGGAAAAATCTTTCCAAAATCATAGTATAAATATTATTATACTACTAGCAAACCCGACGAACTCCGTTTTGCCACTAAATGGTTTCGTGAGAAAGATGAAGAAATTTTTAGTTTGTTTTATATTTGAAAAGGAAAAATTTGATTTTATTATACAACAGTAATGAATTTATTTCGATTACAAAAATGAAGTGTTTTTTAGTTGAACTTCTCTAAGTAAATGAAAGTGAATCCGCAAATTATCCGTTTCATTAAAGTGCTCTTTGGTAAGCCACATTTTTTGTTTTTTGGTCTGACGTTAACATAAACAAAGCGGATGGTTTTCCAACTCGTGAACAGGCAACGTATAACTGCCCATGTGAAAAACAATGATTTTCTAAATAAACTATTTGAAATTTATCCCGCAAACACTAAGCGTTTGGCCTTGCGACTTGTTATTGCGAACGCAAGGCGAACTGGAAATTGCAATCGTTTTAAGTCAAACGGAAGACCAGTCGGAATCATTGGTATGTCACAAATCGCCAGCAATTTTTGATTGAATGGTGACTTAACCAAGCATAATTCTGATAATTCTCACTAATGTCATTACTCGAATTTTTAATTACGGTGCGTGAAGTTCCAGCAGCTTGCATTAAGGCACAATGCCATGCACAACTAATTTTCTTAGCTATAAACCTTGCGGAGCCCGAGACCTTTCCAACGAATGCAAAATTGTCGAAGTGCGTTCTGGAGTTATTTCGTCAGGAAGGATAACCCGACTTATTTTTATATATATAGAAGATGATTTTGGAAAGATTTCTCCAATGACAAACCTTGAATATTAAATTCTCAATTCAATATTTTGAAGAATATTTTAAAATATTCTAATTGACTTTTAGAATTATTAGAAGAGTTAGAAAAGTTAAAATTATTAGGAGACTTACAAAAAAAGAAAAATCAATTTTATGATTATTACTAACTATTTTTATATACATCAACTATTTTATGATTTTATGAAAATATATAACCATTTACATTATACTATAACATTTTGTTTTACAAGAGACAAAACTATGAGGAAAACCAAAAACTTCTAGGTAACCTTGCTCGTAAATTTATAACAGGTGTACTATTTTTTCGCACAAGTTATTGAAATATGCAAAATTAAAAGTATATTTCGCTAATACTTGCTAATTAGAAACTCTTACAATGACGTGAAATTTATTCATTATAGTATTGTATATAAGAAATAAGGTAGAAATATGAAACATTATCATTAGAAATTTTATTAAATCAAAAAACACAAGCTCAGTTGCATGTCAAGTAGCTATTATCCTTTTGTGAAATAATAATCTTTCATTATACTTATTTAAAAACTTTTCACTTTAGACCATGAACCATTAAATTTTAAACAAAGTTTTATTTTTATCAAATATTCAAAGATCTATTCATGGATTTTTAAATAAAGTTTTGGCCATTATTTTATTTTTATCAAATATTCAAAGATATATGTCCATGGTATTTTTAACAAAGTTTTTGCCGTTTTAGTTGAAAGTCTAAACTAATTCAGAATCTATAGTATTTCAAGACAAATCATTGAATATAAATGAATAAAAAGTATTATTGATTCTCCTTCTTAAATCACGTGAAATTATAACAAAATTCCAAAACTGTATTTTCAAATACACAAGTTGAATTTTATAAGTTTTTAACAGTTTTGATACCATAATAAAAGACTTTTACGCAGGAAGCATTTAATTCAAGAATTGAATCAATATCGCCAGTGATATTAAAAATAATCCTCACGTGTATCCTTGATAATTTATATGAGTTAGTGATTTCTTTAGGACGAAAATAGTATAAAAAACAAGATCAAAATAATAATTTAAAAATAGTCTGACATAACATTGTCACATGACGTAACGTATCATGTTTGATAAATGATAATCTAATACACAAGAGGCTATCTTTATATTCATAAAACTAATTCGATGACACATAACTAGTTGAATACAACATGTGTTTTATTATTATTTAATTATATTACGTTACCTTTTAGCATATCTATACTGTATTCCTTGCACCCCTAAACATTTAACAGCGTTTCCTTTAATACATCGTTTAAGTCCATTTTCTATTAGTTCCCTTCGAACAATAGTTCGTAACATGACTATATAAGAAAAACACTATTTTAATTTAATTCAGTATGTATATTTTTAAATAAAATTGTGTAAAACTAAAAATTTTGCGTAAAAAAAATTTGTGAGGCACCTCAATTAATTTGCACAACGAGGTCACTGATGATTTTGACAGCTCAAGATTTTGACAGCTTGGCGGACTCAAGCCGGCAACATGTGCGCGCGGGAAAAAAAATTAAAAGTGGTACCACCTTGAACGATAAAAAATTTGAAATTCAAATTTGGAAAAATAAACATCACACTTTAAATTCTTTTATAGAAAGAATATACTAGATTGTTAATTGAAATTCAAAAACTGAATGTAAGAGTTTTAAAATGTACTGTCTCCTAAGGTATTACTTTACTATTATTTTTACATGTGTAATAAAAAAGCCTAAATACTGTTGAATATAATTCTACACCTAATATTTTTTTTGTACCTATTATGTATTATTTCCTTAATCATACTACTACTAGACTGGTTATAAGTTTATAATTATATACAATTGAAAAAAGACAATCTTAGTAACGTTATTAGCAAAATAAATTGGGGGGTTAGTAGTCAATCCTTAATGCTTTTCAAATCACAAAATAAACCCTGTTAACTTATTATTCACAAATGTAATAAGATGTTCATAAAAGTATGCGGTCAACCATATATAAAATTCAATTATAAAATTTATTACCTATTAACACTTACATAAAATATTGTACATGATATCCTTTTATTTACAATTCAATTCAGTTGAGTATTTTTTAATATGCATTCCTCTTTCACTTAACATGACTCCATGAAGGTTTCCTCTTTTCCACAAAACTCTTAATGCCTTCCTGCCCGTCATTTGAATTAACGTTGCTCACCATAACATTTGTACCTAGCTCATAAGCATCTTCCATACTCATGTTAGCTTGTTCGTAGAAAAATCTTTTGCCTGATTCTATGATTGGTCTGCTTTTAGAAACAATGGAGGATATTATTTTGTCAATTTCCTCATCCAGTAGTTCTTCAGATACTACCTTAAAGTATAAAATATAATAAATTATAGATGAATACAAGAATAATGAATACTTCTTGTATACAAGATGGAGTTAAAGAAGCAGTATAGAAAATGATTAAAAGTGACCATCGTTCTGTAATATGTAGCAGTAAAATGACAAAATTCAATGAATGGGTCTTGAATATTTAGTGTGAAGATTTTGCTAAACTAAATTATTTATCAAAGCAAATGATTGAAGTTAAAATATTGATCAAAAGCGTACTTTTGAAACCAAGCCAGCAGTAAGAGCTTCATTCGCAGTTAATGGTAAACCTGTTAATAACATATGAAGTGCTGTTTTCCTCTGCACACATCTTGCTACAGCGATTCCTGGTGTTGAACAAAATATTCCAAAGTTTGCCCTGAAAGAATAATATTTAATCAAACATTATATTATTATAATCTTTGTATTTTATATTTAACAAACCCTGGTGTAGAAAAAGTGCTCTTATCTGAACAAACTGTTATATCACATGTTGCTATAAGCTGGCAACCAGCTGCAGCTGCTAAACCATTAACCTAACCAAATTAAAGCCTTTTATTAATTATTTTCTGAAATAACAGTTTAATTTAATCAATAATCATCTTATACCTACTTTGGCAATAACTGGAACAGGTGACCTGACAATAGAAAGCATCAATTCTGATGCTTTGGAGAATATCTTGGCAT